TAAAATACTACTCCCGGTTAACGGAAATTACTCAAAATTTGAAAGAAGGCAGAGAATTAAATCTTTTACTTATATATGAAATTTCGTTAATCTATCTGAAACAGTACTCAAGTTATAGGCTTTTGAAAAACTAAAAGTAGAATAAGTCCCACTTCCGGTTATCGGAAATCGCTGAAGAGATGATATAGAACTACAAATGTTATATAATTCTTTTATATGAAACTTCCTCAAGCTAGCTGTAACGGTATTCAAGTTATCGTGTTAACATACACACAGACACACACATAAACAGACATACCTGACATACGGACGAAAATTGTAAAAAAAATGTAACTGAAATTTTGAGGGGAGTGTAGGCTGAGGCGTGACGTCGTTTTAGGTGGGGGATCTGGCTTTTTGTGACGACGTGTGACGGAGGGGAGGGGGAGGGAGGTAAAAATCGCCAAAAAAAAGCGTGACGTCATTTATGGATGACCCCTTACTAGATTACTCAAATTAGGTTCGTCAGTTTGAGTAGTAAGGGGGGGGGGGGGGGGGGGGCTTCCTAGAGTTAGGAAGACGATGGGGAAACATAAACCTAACCCTAATCGTTTATTATTATTATAATAATAGCCTACAAATACTGAATAGGCCTAGCCTAACGTACTATAACTGAATTATTTACTAATTTAGGCCAGTGGCGGAACTAGAAAAAAAGGCCCCCCCGCAGAATTTTTTTTTGGGCCCATATATATATATATATATATATATATATATATATATATATATATATATATATATATATATATATATATATATATATATATATAAATATATATATATATATATATATATATATATATATATATGTATATATAAATATATATATGTATATATATATATATATATATATATATATATATATGTATATATATATATATATATATATATATATATATATATATATATATATATATATATATATATATATATATATATATGGAAAACAAAGGTCGCACTAAATTTAAAAAAAAAAATGTATCCGGTACCCGAATAAATCAGAGGTTTTCCAACCCGAATAAATCAGAGGTTTTCCAACACAAACTAGACACGCCAAGGCATGTTGTAAGTCCCTCGGCGACGACCCAGGTGTCAGGGGAGTCACGGGGCTCTTGGAGCTACCGGTTACATTACTGCACGGGTGATGGGTGCAACACATTGTTTCTTCCGGCAGAGCTCCCCCTCCCCCACCCCTCCTCCGAAAACAGTCTACCCAGGAAGAAACATTGGTGCGACACCTAATTAGATTTAGTCATCGAGTGTTGTAGCGAGACTTATTCCTAGTGTTGTGGGAACTTTTAAACGACTGTCTGTGGGGGGCCAACTTGCTCATATGTGATGCGCTCAGGATGACATTGACGCCGGTTGTATTCAAGTAGTAACCTCATCCGTTTATGCAGGATCACGGGGCGCTAAATCACATATTTCCGTTAGGAGTCCCCACTCCAATATGTACAAATGTTAGGCCTATGACAGAAACTTTTGCGGGGCTGTACTCAACAGCTTCCCAAGTTTTCATGGCGATTGGGTGAATGATGCAGTAATGCAAAATAGACAGAAAAATGTTTTTCACATGTACAACTGTATGTGGCCAGGTCACGCGTTGGATAACCTTCTGATTTAGGGGAGGGGGGGGGGACTAACAAAAAGCCAGACCCTCACACACCCCCACCTCAATAACGTCATTTATAAATAGTAATTGACTATTAATAATGTTCAATTAATTCTAAACGTAATTAATTTCTAAATAATTATATAAAAATAATCTTACCTGCCCTGTTTTGTGAATTAGATGTGCCTAATACTATGAAAGTAAATTAATATCTGTTGACTAGATCTAGATCTAGTGCTGTCTAGTGTCTGACAAAATGTGCTGAAGTGTTGAATCGTACGGTTAGGAATTAGTTCATAAACGATACATTTATCTCCTCGATACTTGTGAGGTTGAGAAAGAGGGGTGGGATAGGGGTCGGCTCGGGAAAAAAACTTGAAAGCGACATCAAAACGCCTTGATCTATGTACGTCAGCATCGCCCATTGTAAAACTTACTCAGGGGAGATTATTCCAAGTATAGACTTTAAAAGTTTACTATGATATTTCTCTTAAAAGCAAAAACAACTAACCGTATATAAAACTGAAGTTTCTAGTATAGTATTATATTATTTTTTTATTATTTGTAGGATGCAAGATACAAATTCAACCACTATCACAAACACATTAACATTGAAAAATGTACAATGGATTTCGGGTCCCTTACCAATGCCGCAAAGACGAAAGCCCACTTCATATGTAGCGGCTTTTCGTGCTATGGACTTTGTTGTTTTTTAAAAAGAATTTTGCCGACGACAGCGTGTGTTTGATTGTAGGGAAATAGAACTCGGCCTTGACAATGGTTAAAAAATACAACTATAAATAACTGTTTAAAATATGTAAAAAAAATTCAACAATTTTTGAACCCCCTTTTTGGTCCCCATCCCCTGCCTAATCCGCGACAGTACACTTTGGAGGATCGGTTAAACAGTTACGTGTCCTCTATTTAGCTATTAAAGAGGTGGGGGGCAACGAGTCAAAGAAGTCATTCAAATTTGAAGAGTTGCCTATATTTTACACTGTAGTTTGTGTAATGGATTTTATCTGTTGTGGAAGAGCGTGGTATAGTGACTGTAAAATAAAGATAATCGTACCGCAGCTAGTGTTTTTCTTTTACAAACCAAATATTAAGGCAAAAATGCACGAAAATTAAATTCAAAATTTAAAAAAATATTAATTTTGGTCAGCCGTGGGTGGGCCCCTAAACGGCCTGCCCCCCCCCCCCCCCGCGCATTGCGGGGACTGGCGGGACTGTAGTTCCGCCCCTGTTCATCAGGTAAATGAACAACTACTGACTAGTGTCTTTAACAAAATGTGCAGGAGTGGTCAGTTTACAGTTCAGTAGTTCATAGACGGTTCGTTAATCTATGCATTACATCTTATTGTAAGATTAAGGGTGTGGTGAGGGGTAGAGGTGAGGGGTAGGGGTGAGAGGGGGCAGGGGTGAGAGGGGGCAGGGGAGAGAGTTGGGAAGGTTCATTGGAAGGGGATAAGAAAGCGCCGATGAACAACTACATCAATAGTGCCGACTTTTTCCGGTCGTCTAGAAGACCAGGATATTCGCCGCAACATTTCCCCAGCCAGTGTTTATTCCAGACTTTTTCTCCGGGGGGGCACTTGAAATCTTCGGGGGGGCGGTAAACTTTCTTCGGGGGGGCGGACACTGTTAAAAGTATATATTTTCTATATAAATTATATAAATTTCATTTCCTTCGGGGGAAGAGATGCCTGAAAGAAACTCTGTCCCCAGCCCGATTTCAAAGTGTACCGGCACAGTCAAATTTCAGATGCTTCGCTGAAGGGAGATAACTTAAACTTTTACAAGTTTATTGATACAGTTGTTAAAGTAAAAATGAACGCAATTATAAATGTACGAGATCGAAATAAATAATTATATTTTTTGTAGAATTCAGGCCAGTAGTTTAAACACACAATCATAGATATGTAATTTAATAATGTAAACAATATAACAATGCTTTTTTGTTCTCCTAATCGACGCCACTAAAAAGAACGGTAGGCTGCGTCTTTGAAGTTGACTTTATGTCTGGCGGTCTCTCGAGCTATATAGTCTGTGCATTTTTATCAAAGACGTTTGCCGACTATCGTGTTTGTTTGTAACTGTAGAAGAAAGATAACTCGACCTCCACCTAATTTTTTTTTTTTTTTAATTTTTTTTTTAAAATAATTTAGCCAGGATTTTTGGGCCCCCAATCGGTCTGGGCCCCCCCGCATTGCGGGGTCTGGCGGCACTGTAGTTCCGCCCCTGATTTAGGCCCAATCGGGTCAAGTCTATGACTATAGTGACCTAGAATGTATCTCAAGAAATGAATGTGTAAACGAAATATTAAAAAAAGCACCGAGATTGTTCAGACGCAATACAAACCAAGATTGTTTTTATTCCACCGCCTGCATGTGTAGGCTGAACTTCGTCGTCCTCTGCAGCTCGCGTGAAACTGTAAACAAGCACAGGTAAACGCCGTGTCGTGCGTCACCCACCGTGTCGAGAGAGGATCTGGTGTGTCACCTCGTCTCGCGGTGGTGGCGTTATCCCCTGCAGTGATTGGCTGTCTACCTCGCGCAGGTCAAACGTAGCTGGTACTAGACCCTCTTGATAGGATACACCGTAGGCCCTAGCTCCTAACAGAACGAAGAAAAGCTAGTGAAGATGTGACGATTAGATCAAAACGCCACAATATTATCTAAGTTTACTAAAGCTATTTTTTAAAATGCAGTAGGCCTATAAATAAAAACAAAACAATGAGTAGGTCTACTTTTTTACGGGAAAACCCGCAACGAACGTTTAAATTTAAAAGGGTTATTTGGGATTAGCTTATCATAACCGTTGACAGGGGTTTGAAGGGGTTACCGGCTGATCGAAGTACTTCAAGTACACTAATGAGCGAGGCGAAGTCGTGTTTGCGATGGTTTATCATTAACGATGATCCATGGCGGACCAGATGAAGTAGAGTTGAACTGTTTCTGGAACATGCCGATGTACATTAGATCTGTGACAGACGAGCGAACTTTCTGCAGTCGGCACCAGATAGAATTATTAGCCCCGCCCCCCCCCCCCCCCCACTTGATAATGATATGGCATGTGCTGCATGTTTAGTTATTTTCAACATGTGAACTATTAAATGAAAAAAAACCCCGCCATTAAGAGGAATTCCCCCAACCCCCCCCCCCCAGCTAAGCCTTCTCCTGCCGACCTGAAGCCGGTCCACAACACAACCCCTTTTGTACACCCCTCTCTTTTTCTCCCTCCCCCCCCCCCCCAGTCCCGCTACAGACCGACTACTCAAGCGTAAATAATGACAGAAATGTGGGAGTGAGGGGGGGGGGGGGGGTGACGCTACCCTTTGACACATGACCTGAGCATTGACGAGGTGCACTTGTGTCGGGTCGGTTTGAACACACACACGAAGGTTTAGCTGCAGGTAGGTTTCTTTATGGCTGCAGTTAGTTATAGTGTAGGTAGGTTTCTTTATAGCTGTAGTTAGTTATAGTGTAGGTAGATTTCTTTAAAGCTGTAATTAGCTATAGTTGTATGTAGGTTTCTTTATAGCTGCATGTAGGTTTCTTTATAGCTGCAGTTAATTATAGCTGTAGGTAGGTTTCTTTAAAGCTGCATGTAGGTTTCTTTATAGCTGCAGTTAATTATAGCTGTAGGTAGGTTTCTTCATAGCTGCATGTAGGTTTTTTATAGCTGCAGTTAATTATAGCTGTAGGTAGGTTTCTTCATAGCTGCATGTAGGTTTTTTTATAGCTGCAGTTAATTATAGCTGTAGGTAGGTTTCTTCATAGCTGCATGTAGGTTTCTTTATATCTGTAGTTAGTTATAGCTGTAGGTAGTTACATATGCACGTAGTTATAGCTGCTGGTAGTTGCCGATTGTAATAGATTGAAATAATTGTGAGGTCAAGGGAACTCACTCTTCTGTATTAGTTATATTTATAATATTGTTATCTTGAGTGATGTCCCTTGGGTACTTCCTTCCGTCCTCTCTGTGTGTTACCATCGTGAGGTAGTTAGACCCATTAAATGTGTTATATACAACCACAGGCTTCTGTCGTCAATCTATTATAACTGGCGACGAGGATAAACATCTACTAGAAAGAGCACCTACTTACGCAAAAAAGAGGTTTGCTAGAGCTTATTAGCTAATTATTTCTAGAATTATGGCGCTGTATGGCCAAATAAAACAATTTGATGCGAATGATGAAATCATTCAAGATTACCTAGAGAGGTTAAGCTTTTACCTAGAAGCTAACGACGTGACGATAGAAGCCAAAAAGAGAGCTGTTTTGTTAACAGTCATAGGGCCTCAACAATTTAGGCTACTAAAAGACTTATGCGCACCAGCTAGTCCAGATACCAAGAGCTTTAACGAGCTGAGCAAATTGCTAACAGACCACCATGCGCCTACCCCATCAAAGTTTCTATGTCGAGCTAGATTTGACAGTAGGACTCGTCAACCAAACGAGTCAATATCAGAATATGTTGCTGCTTTACGTCATTTAAGTAGATTTTGTGAATTTGGAGACACGCTGTCTGACAGATTATGTGAAAAGTTTGTGACAGGTGTAAACAGCCCTGATATTCAAAGAAAGTTGCTGCTCGAGTCAGATCTAAAATTGGAAAAAGCAATACAACTTGCAAATTCATACCAGCAGTCATCAGATGCGGCGAAATCTCTTACGCCTTCAGGGATCCATGCAGTAAACAGCAGGTTAGTCAATAAACATCAACCCCAACAGAGCATTCCAACTTATGCTAAACAGCCTGCTCGTTCAAATTCTAGATCTAAATCTAGTAATAATTATCAAAAATGTCATCGATGCAAAGGTCCCCATGCATCTCATCGGTGCAAGTTCAAGTTAGCAACTTGTTATAAGTGCGGTAAGCAAGGTCACATTGCCAAGGCCTGCTTTGCAAAGTCTTCGTCTGTTGCTAAATCTAGCCAGTCAAGACAGTACCGCAACCAAAAGCAGCACTATGTTAACTCTCACCAAGACTACCTAACCCAACCAATGAACCACTCTACCTGTGAAAATGCTCAAACTGATTTGCAGCCGGATTTCAACCTGTTCTCTGTTAAATCAATAAGTCATGCTCCCATCAATGTACAAGTTAATATCAACGGTAAGAGCATCAGCTTCCAACTTGACACTGGAGCATCTCTAACAGTCATAACAAAGAAAGATTTTGACGCTGTCATAGGAGGATCAGTGCCTCTACAGCCATGTCACAAGTGTCTAACAACATACACTGGTGACAATGTTCCGGTAATAGGAGAGTGTATGGTTCATGTAAGTTATAATGGTCAAAGTGTTAAACTTCCTCTTCTTGTGGTTGAAGGAAATGGACCGCCATTACTAGGTAGGAACTGGTTAAGAGATCTTAAGTTAAATTGGGAGAGTATTTGTTCATTGAAGAATGTAAAAGAATCTAGTCTTACTTCACTAGATAAAGTTATATCTGAAAATAAATGTGTTTTTGGTAACTCAGGTTTACTAAATGATAGAACAGTGAAGTTAAACATTAAAGATACAAATCCAAGATACTGCAAAGCTAGAGTTCCACCTTATGCAATGAGGAATAAAATTGAAAATGAGCTAAGTAGATTGGAATCTAATGGCATTATAAAGAAGGTAGACTATTCCGATTGGGCGACACCCATTGTGCCTGTGTTAAAGAAGGATGGTTCTATAAGAATTTGTGGAGATTATAAAACTACACTGAATAAGCAAATAGAGCTAAATAGGTACCCTATACCTAACATTGAGGAAATTTCTTTGAATTTGGCAGGAGGAGACAAATTCACTGAATTAGACTTTAGTCATGCTTACACTCAACTAGAACTGCATCCAGATTCAAAAGTCTATACGACAATAAACACACATAAAGGACTCTACCAATATGAAAGACTATGTTTTGGCATATCATCCAGCCCTGGAATTTTCCAAGCTGTCATGGACAGTATTTTTAAGGACATTCCAAATGTTTGTGTGTACTTTGACAATGTGTACATAACTGGTAAGAATGACACTGAACATCTTAAAACACTAGATAAAGTCTTGAAAATTGTTGGTGAAAAAGGTTTAAAGATAAACAAAGATAAATGTCAATTCATGCTGACAGAAATTAGTTTTCTTGGTTATATATTAAGCAAGCAAGGCATCAGACCTCAACCTGAGAAAACAAAAGCCATTAAAGAAGCACCCAAACCTGAAAATACCCAACAACTAAGAGCTTTTTTGGGCTTGATAAATTACTATGCAAAGTTCATAGGGAATCTGTCTGGTAAACTATCACCACTGTACAAGCTGCTACAGAAAAATGCAACTTGGCACTGGGGTAAACAACAAGAAGCTGCTTTTAATACAGCAAAAGAGGCTTTGTCTGCTGACACCTTACTAACTCACTATGACCCAGGGAAAAGACTTATATTAACATGTGATGCTTCACCAGATGGTGTAGGAGCAGTCTTGTCCCACATGGATGAGAAGGGTGACAGACCCATTGCTTTTGCCAGTAGATCTTTGAACCAGGCTGAGAAAAATTATTCTCAGTTAGATAGGGAAGGCTTAGGCATCATTTTTGGTGTTAAGAAATTTCATAAGTTTCTGTTTGGTAGGAAGTTCACCATCTTTACAGATCATAAACCATTGCTAGGTTTATTTGGAGAAAATAAAACCCTACCTGAGCATGCCTCACCAAGAATTCAAAGATGGGCTATCACACTAACTGCATACAATTATGAATTGAAATACAAACCTGGATCTGAGAATAGTGCAGATAGTCTTAGTAGATTACCTTTAAAGAACCAAAGCCTGAGCTATGTACCAGAAGATGTATTTGTTCTCTTCACTATCATGGATAACTCCAATATAAATGTGAATGATATTAAAAGAGAAACACAAAAAGATGAGTGCTTAATAAAAGTATATGAGTACTGTATGAATGGTTGGCCTGAAGAGTCTGTGAATAATGACTTAAGGCCATATTAAATAAGAAATAAAAACCTTTGTGAAGATAATATAAAAGATGGAGAAGATGCAGTCCATTATCAGTTAGAGTTGCCTAAACAAAGTACTTGTAATTTAATAAATGATTATGGTGATATGGCAATTTCAAATGTTTTAAAGAGAATACATTAGTAAGAAGGAATGTGATCATCAAACAACTTTGCTAACATCATTAGCACTTACAGAAACTAAAAGGGTAACATCAAAAGAAGAAAAAGATTTTTGCCATTTAATACACCCACTTCAAATACTGGATCACAGTTGCAAAGTGACATTGTCCAGGATATTACTTTAAACAGTATTTTTGGTTACCAGGAAAGCACTATCAGATTACCTGAGAAAATTGATCAATCAAAGAAATCTATGTCAGTCAAGGATCTGAATAACAGCATAATACTTTCAGATGCCAATTCAAAAATAGTTCCATTAGATCATGACAAACATTCATTGAAAGAGAATTTGGTGTTAATGAGAATGTGTATCTAAGAAACTATGGGAGAAGGGAAAAATGGATACCAGGTCAAATTGTTCAAGGTACAGGACCTGTGTCTTATAAAGTTAAAAATAACTTGTGCAGATAATAAGTGTGAATCTGTCAATCCCACCAAATCTGAACAGTTCACACCAACTCAGTTTGTTCCACAACCAAGTTCTGTTGATATGAGTGAATCAAGTTGTCTGGAGTCAGAAAATGTAAATTCTGGAGTTAATGATTTAAATCCTAGACCTCCTGAGATAGAGAATCCAGATGGTCAGAATCTTGAGTCACCAAATCAAAAGCCACTGAGAAGGTCAAGCAGGACAATCAAAGTCCCAAATAAGTTAGACCTATGATTCTAAAGGTCAAAAGGACTTTGACATTATTGTTTTGTATTTTGATTATGTTGTAGCATATTGTGCATTGTTTGTAAGGATGTAATCTACCATAGTGTTCATGTTACAATATAATTGGTGATTTTAGGATACTATCAATTGTTCTATTGAGAGATGTGTTATTGTGTTCTAAGGGTAAAGGGATGTAATAGATTGAAATAATTGTGAGGTCAAGGGAACTCACTCTTCTGTATTAGTTATATTTATAATATTGTTATCTTGAGTGATGTCCCTTGGGTACTTCCTTCCGTCCTCTCTGTGTGTTACCATCGTGAGGTAGTTAGACCCATTAAATGTGTTATATACAACCACAGGCTTCTGTCGTCAATCTATTATACCGATGTTGGTAGGTGTCTTTATAGCTGCAGTTGGTTATTATTGCAAGAGTTATTTGCTGCATGAATTGACCACCAGCAATTAGTAAAAACCGGCAATTCTATAGAACATCTATGTAATGTATATAAATCCCTAAGTGGGTGGTGTACGAAATACATCTTATTTCTGTCATGTTTCACAATTCCCTAGACATTCTATAG